TATCTTACAAAGTATGTGTATACTTGGAGAAGCTGCTTCAAGTACCGTGGTTACAGTAAAACAAAAATGAACTCAGAAGTATCTTACGAAGTACGTGTATCCTTGGAGAAGCTGCTTCAAGTACCGTGGTTACAGTAAAACTGAACAGCTCTTGTTGTTTTTAGCACAAAACTACCAAATTGACTATATACACTCTGTCTACCGCGAAGAATCGAACCCCGCACTTTAACGCTGTAAGTCCTTAATCTTACCGCTGACCTACAGGGAGGCAACTAAATTACTTCAGGGACCAATGAAAAAACAGCAAATTATTTTTTGAATTGTTCTGCACATGATAATTATTTACAAGTTTTGTTTTGGGGTAGGGGAGGGTAAGTAATTATTCCACTAACTAAATAAATACTGCAGCAGTTGCAACGAAACATGTTTCGTACTCATAATCTGAGTTTCCGTACTTTGCTACAAAACAATTAACTATTTAACACGCTAGTATTTATTTATATTAACTGTTGCATATTTCTTTGTATTAGATCAATCTTGTCCCACCCCCTCCAGTGGCTCAGCGGTATGTCTGCGGACTTACAACGCTAAAATCCGAGTTTGGATAGTCGTGGTTTGCAGCTTTATGCTTAACTACAAATAAACAAGATCAATCTTAGTAAAGTGATCTATAAAAACTGGGCTGTTGATAAGTGCATTCGTAAAATATAATTGAAGTAAAATACAAATGAATATTGAGATTTAATGCAACTTGGCTGTTTTGTGGAATTTTCTAACATAACCTAATCGACACGTTGTACAAAATAGTATCGAGATTATATACCTACACACATTCTGTATTATTTGTGAATATTTTGAAAACTTTTAATATGTTTTCTCTTTCAATCTAGATACAGAAGCCAATCCTGATGCTAAAAGGCTCTACGATGATCTTATATCTCCTTATAATAAGCTGGTTCGCCCTGTACTAAACGTTAGCGAAGCTCTGACTGTTCAGATCAAGCTGAAACTGTCACAATTAATTGAGGTGGTAAGTAGCATTATCCTATTGTTATGACTCTGTATCATGCTTTGAGGTGGTAAGTGACATTATTTTATTGTTATGACTCTGTATCATGCTTTGAGGTGGTATATGACGTTATCCTATTGTTATGGCTCTGTATCATGCTTTGAGGTGGTATGTGACATGATCCTATTGTTATGACTCTGTATCATGTTTGGAGGTGCTAAGTGACATTATCTTATTGTTATGACTCTGTATCATGCTTTGAAGTGGTATGTGATATTATCCTATCTTCAATACTGTATCATGTTTTGAGGTACTGAGTGACATTATCCTTTTTTCATGACTGTATCATGCTTTAAAACAATTGTAGATGTGTATTTAGTTTTTAGAATTGTAGTAGAACAAACACTTAAGGTTTAGAAAATAGGTTAGGATTTAAACTCTGAAGTTAAACACTGGAAAATAGGTTTAAAGTGCCTTTGTATGTAAGAATAAGAACACCATTAAGCGTAGTCTACTGTGCTAATGATAATGCCGGTGGCCTTTGAATTTTAGAATAAAGGTATGCATAGTTTTGTAGGTATACAATAATGTCTGCAAATGTCAACATTTCATGTGTACACTTCTCTAGTACGCTTGTATTGCGCGCCTGATTTTTGTTTTTCTTACTGGAAGTTTAATGTGGAACCAATAGGAAGAGAGAATATGACAAATAAACCTAAAGTGTACGGTTACTATTAAAGATGCCAGTCTCCTAACCAGATCATCATCGGTACATGTTTAGACAAATCATTGTTTGAACGACTAACTAAAGCTTTTTTTTTGGAGGCTGTGTGTTGAATTATTATCAAATTGTTTTTAATTACACACGATCATGTTTAATTCATCTTTTAAAATAACGTTAACGCTTAGTTAAACACGTTACTTTTAAATATCTTGTTCAGCATTTTTTACTCCTAAAATTTGATTTTTTAAAAGTTTTGACTAAATGCATTATTAAGATGTCGAAGTTTTAATGACGACTGGATTGTTACTTATTTTACTTGTTTACCGGACTTTTATTACATAACTAGATCAACTTAGTGTCGGTAGGAAAAAAACAGAAAAAACAAACCTAAGAAATTAGAAACAGACTTCCTTGTAATTCTCAAGGATGCCGTTATTTTTCTACTAGCAGAAACCATCACATAACACACCAAGCTTCAGGATTCTATATCGTGTTTAACTGCAGATTCCAGAAAATGTATTTTTTTGTGCTAATTACAATTTCAGTTTCACGTTTCTCTTCGTAAAATGACTACCCTTCTCTGTAATACAGAAAAGCACTGAATTGTCCAACCTCCTATACACCCAACTACATGTAGATACACAGAAACGTGCAGTAGTTTGCAGCATACAACTAATTAGTTTGGCAATTAGAGAATAATCTTATGCACAGTTGAATAAGGTCTATTCAAACCGCATCAGTGCGTGAAACAAATTACTGAGTGCATTACCAGCTTTTCCTTTCTTTCTTGCATGAAGTAAATTGTTGAAACGTCCATAAAATATTCTTTAACAAAATAATACCGACACATAATAAGTTTATAACTTCAGGAGGTATAACATATATATAGTTATACATACATACTATATAAGGTATATCGTTAAATAGTCAGTCAAATATCATATCGATATCCTAATAGATTATTTGTAAAACCATGGTTGTTAAATTGTTTGTTTTGAATTTCGCGCAAAGCTACACGAGGGCTATCTGCGCTAGCCGTGCCTAATTTAGGAGTGTAAGACTAGAGGGAAGGCAGCTAGTCATCACCAACTCTTGGGCTACTCTTTTACCAACGAATAGTGGGATTGACCGTCAAATTATAACGCCCCCACGGCTGAAAGGGCGAGCATGCCGGACCAGGTTGTTGAATAATTAATCTACATGTTTTAAACACTTGATAATTGGAGCAAGTGCACATCTTTTGGCTTTCGTTATTCTAGTAGCCAAACTGCTTTGACTGTTTTTTCAGAGACAACTATTGACAGTAATATTTCCTATTATAATCCATGTAAAAGAAATTTCAATGTTTTGATAACATCTACTCTATTTTATCTTAAACTTGGACTACCAAATTGTTTAAGAGAGCTAATAGTTCATTTGACTTATTTATTTTAACCTAAATAATTTATTGTTTACTCGCTTAGTGATTCAAGACATACAATTCTTTGACATGTTTCCCCCATAAACACGAAATTAGGAAACAGTTACGATTAAGTTATTTTGTGTGTGTATATTTAAACACAATTATTCGACATGTTCCCCCATAAACAAGAAATTAGAAAACAGTTACGAATAAGTTATTTTGTATGTTTGTTTAATCACAATTATTCGAAGCAGCTGGAGTCACGATCACTTAATTTTACTCCTGACATCATTAAATTCATTTCCCAATAATATAATAATATTTTCCTCAAGCTGTATATTAGAATGACAGAGAAAGATATTATGATAGATGTCCATCTTATCCTACACCTCTTACTTACTTAGTTGTGTGTGAATATTTAGCCATCAAACTTAATTGCTTGAGATAACTCGTCTATTACCTTGGCACGCGAATTAAACGTACATTATTTTTCCTAGATACCCGTTTTCTTGCAAGTGTAATATACATTATTAGGTAACTATAAACACTAGATGGATAATCGTAATTTACCAGTTACTTTACCAGAACTAAATACTGTACAGAGTTTCGAGGCCATAGATTTTTGTATATTTGTTTTAGAATTTCGCGCAAGGCTATACAAGGGCTATCTGCACTAGCCATCACTGATTTAGAAGTGATACACTACAGGGAATACAATTAGTAAACACCACCCACCGCCAACTCTTGGGCTACTTTTAACCAAGAGAATGTGGGATTGACCGTCACATTATAATGTTCCCACGGATGAAAAGGAGAACATGATCGCTGAGGGGATTCGAACACCGACCCGCAGATTGCGACTCAAGTGCCCTGTCGAATAGGCCATGCCAGGCCCCTAAGGGACTAAAATGAAGGCAGCTAGTCAACAACATCCACCATCAGCTCTTGGGTTACTCTTATCTTGGTGTTGGAAAGAAACGGTAGACATGACGCCATCCTCAACAGAAAATCCCATTTGATCACAATGTCTTAGGTTTTTTAAATTACATTTATAAGATAACATTTAACGCCTTTCTAATAATATTTAAAAACTATATTCGGGTTTAGTTTTTATATTTATCTTAGCTGAAGTGTTGAATATTATTGAGTACTTTTCGAACCATTTTTCACTTGCCTTGTAGAAAGAGTATCTATACTAGTGTACTTTTCGAACCATCTTCCACTTGCCTTATATAAGGAATATCTAGTGTTGAATATTACCGAGCACCTTTCGAACCATCTTCCACTTGCCTTATATAAGGAATATCTAGTGTTGAATATTACCGAGCACCTTTCGAACCATCTTCCACTTGCCTTATATAAGGAATATCTAGTGTTGAATATTACCGAACACCTTTCGAACCATCTTCCACTTGCCTTATATAAGGAATATCTAGTGTTGAATATTACCGAGCACCTTTCGAACCATCTTCCACTTGCCTTATATAAGGAATATCTAGTGTTGAATATTACCGAGCACCTTTCGAACCATCTTCCACTTGCCTTATATAAGGAATATCT